TGTAAAGTTTAATACATAATAAATCTCATATAAATCCCGATACTGAGTCACTCGCTTCGACTCCTCACAACAACAACACATGTGCTTCCCGCCAAAATTTCCCCAACCCGATTTTAGGGTGGGTGTTTCCATGCAAGTGTTTCCATCAGCTTTAAAAGAGAATATAAAATTTTCAAGATACACTGGTGATGATGATTCTACCACCGAGGCTCATATAAGGCAGAAAGTTTCATATGGTGTTGAAAAACTGAGTGATGTTGTACACACAAAAAGGTCATTAGCAACCAGACTTTATAACTTGAGTCAACGAGGCAAATTTCAAAATAGTTCGGTCTTATCACAGAAAGTTATTAATTATTTAGTTAAATGTTTTTCTTATGGCATAGCTCAAAACAAGGGGAATTCCAAGAAAATTCAAAGTGCAATCAGAAATGTTGTACCACATGCATTTGGAAAACATGATTATTGTGACACAACTTGGTGTCATTACAAGGAAGACCCTGGAAAATACAAGCACAAATCTCTTCCTTATGGTAAGGATCTATACGGTGACAAGTTGGAAGCTGCCCTACAGCAAATATTTAAAGACTACAGTACAGATATTGTAGCAGAAAAGTTAGCCCCTCTAACCAACTCACAACGAAATGAATCGTTAAATGGTGTTATTGGCTCAAAGAACCCAAAAATACGGTTTTATGGAGGGAGTGAAAGTAGCGATTTTCGTGTTGCCTGTGGGGTTGCACAAACCAACCTAAGGTATGGCTATATCAACAAAACTTTGCAAGCTTTAAATATTGAGCCTGGAAGATTTTGTGAACAATTTAATGAAAGGATGACCCAGAAACTAAATCATGATAAATCTAGAAAGTCAACTGTAGATTTTAAACGTAGAAGGTCACACATGCAGTCTCGAGCAGTAGCAAGTACTTCACAAAAAGAGGCAAAAGAGGGAATAACATACCAAACTTCAGTTGGCTTGAACCTTGATCCTAATTCAAATGTCAACACTACACTAACCCCAATAAGTAGCATGAAGATCAATCTGCAAAGAATGCCAGACAATGTTTTCAAGGAAATTGAAAATTTAGTCCCGCCACATACTTCTCGTCCACAAGCAGAAAAATGTCAGTTCAATGAAATGAAACATTATAATTTTTTGGTCTTTGACATTGAAACAAATGCTATGGGTAAATCAGCAGAAGTTTGCCAAATTGCAGTGACAGATAAATCTGGTTCAAACACACTTTCTCAGTACATTTTACCAACAACAGATATAGATTTTCATGCTTCTAAAGTTAATAAGCTTCAAGTTGTTAATGCAAACGGCCAAAAAGTGCTTCTGAAAAGTGGACAAATGCTACCTACAGTGGAATTACATGTAGCCTTAGACAGATTTTTGACCTTTGTATCTGAGACAATTGATCAAGCAAAAGCAAAAACACAGCAAGATGTACATACCATTCTCATAGGACATAACGTTTCCATATTTGACGTTCCAATTCTTTTACGACATGCTGGAGAACAATTTGCATCACATTTACAGTCGTTGGATGTATGGTTTGCCGACTCGATCCCATTATTTAAAAATCTCACGAAAGCCGAGTATCCCTTGCTAAAGAATGGAGACGGTTCGTTCCCAAAAATCAACCAGTCATCCATTTACGAATCCTTGTTCAACGAGTCTTTTCTCGCACACGATGCATTAGAGGATGTTATCGCTCTCAAAAGAATTCTTTTCTCTTCAAAGCTAAAGTTGCCAACAAAATCTATTGTTGAAAATTCATGTCCAGTAAGCGTACGCCATGCAGTCGACGATATGAAATATCTTGATCACCGCCATAACCTCGTGCAATCATTCCAGGGCAAACTATTCAACACGAATGCACACAACCCATCAGTTATAACAAAAGGAATGGTTGAAAAAATCGCTGGGAGTGGTTTATCCTACACGGATCTTGAGAAAACCTATCGTAAATTCGGCCAAGACGGTTTATTTGCCCTGCTTTCGAAGCCTCCATCCTCAGCAAGTACTTCGGCTCCCAAGACGACGCCAAGAGTAACTCGAACCGATCGAATTCTCGCAGCAATCGTACAGCATTTTAAAGATACCGTTCAAATTACAGCGTGATAAGTTAATACATGTAAATACAATTGTGAAAACATCAATAAATGAAGTTATATTCGTGTTTATTTTGGCAATATATTTACTGTATTCCGAGCAGCGTTCCAATTTCCAACGAATATATTTATTATTTTATTGCACCAAAACGTCGTGATATACACGCGCGGGCTTTCGTGGGATTGTCGGCTAGTCGCGCGAGGAAATTGAAATCCTGATTTTTGTGACGTCACATAGATAAAAATAAATGTATTTTTCTCGTGTTTCCTTCGGTAAAATTTTTTAAAACTTCATACACTTTCCAGTAATCTTGAAGTGCGTAAAATGTGCAAGTTTTAAGAAAATCGTACGAGCCGAATTTTTTTTATTCCAAAAACAAGGCTTTTTAAGGATTAAAAAAAAAATTGTCGTACGATTTTTTTTAAATGCTATCATTTGAAAGAATTATAGATAAAATTACTGTGTGCAAAAAATTAAAAAGTTTTACCGAAGAAATTTTCAAAAATTGATCAAAGAATCTGCAAATTCACCCTTTTTAAAATCGCTTTGTTACCATGGCAACGGGGATTTTTCACAACATTTTTTATTTTTCGTAATTCGCAATATTGTAGTAGTTATGTGGCCAAGTTTCGTGATCATACTTTGCAACATGATAAAATAATGGGTTTTTGAATACAATTGTGTGCTGTACAATCAAAACTGTAGGGAGCCACCTTAAGGTAGCTCGATATAGTTATCACAAGAACCCTGCTCAAGAATCGCGAACTCAAAACCGGGTAACCATTTTTACGCGAAGGTCGCGGAAACTGATTAGTAAAATGAAAGAACTTCCAAATTGACCTGACGCTCTCTCCTCCGCAGAGGCTTTAGTTTTCTTAGGATTTAATATTACGATGAGATACATTTCACTACACTTTACATGGCGGAGCGTGGAACACGAGCGTAGCCGCTGGGCGAAGGAGCGCAGGTCCTGACGTGAGCAGTTGCTCGCGCCATATCACGCCATTGCGCGTGTTCTATCCAAGTGATCTCGTGTTCGTATTTCAGCCAATCAGCGCTCAGAAAGAGTTGTCCGAATAGAAATCCATTTTGATGTATTCAGTCAATTATATCTTGAAATTTTGAAGTTGAAATTTTGTAATTATGTTTGGTTATGAGAACTATAGCTCTGACAAAAATATGGAATCGAAATAAAGTATATTACAGGAGATATTCAGTTGTTTTAATCATAAAATGGATTTCTATTTGACAACTAGTGCCAGTACTTTTCCGCGTATCAAGATCATCTGGATCTATAGCGTTTTATGCCAATTGCTGACGTCATTAGAATTTGCCATTTTAGAAAAACAATGCGCTATATCTCTTTATTTTGTCTGGTGGCCTATGTTCAAATTTTGCATGCTGTATTGCACCGCTAAAAACTTTCATTATACAAAAAATAAAAAAATTCTGTAGTGCCAAAAAAATTTTACCGAAGAATATGACATTTTCGCCGCATTTTCCAAAAAAATGGCATTACAGAATTTTTTTATATTTTGCTAATTGTTAGCTTTTCGTCCAAGTAAAATAATGAAATTTCGTCCAAGAAAAAAAAATGGGGGTCACCATGCTTTTTTTCCAACTATACGAGACGATAGGCCATTTTGGAGTGAATTTCGTACACGTATGTCGTCATAGCAACGAAGTACTGTTACTAAAACTAATATAATTTGAAAGTAGAGGTATCAAAATATATAAAAAACCCAATATCTGCTGAATAAATCCTAAAAATACGTAGTTTGAACATGTCAAAGTGTTAAACACCTGAATTTTTGAAAACTGCATCGAGCCACCTTAAGCAGCGTGTAAAGCTCACTGGTAAAGCTACGTTTACACGCCACGATTTGTCGTGTACGATTCGTATTCTGGCGTATTAAAATGAGTGCTGGCCCCGTAATTCATTGCCGTTTCGTTAAAAAGAAATTTAAAATGTAGCCAGCTTTAATATGCGCGTTTATACTCACTTGACATACGCCAAAAAACGACGAATCGTACACGATAATTCGCAGCGTGTAAACATAGTCTTAGTCGACTGAAGAGCATACGATTATAAGTATTTATTAACTATATATTTCAATTAGGAAATTTAAATTCAGTAGTTGCCAGTTGTTTGAAGGACTATATAAAAAGATGGAGACTGTTATTTACAACGCTAATAAATTGTACTTTGTAGTTGTATACGTATACGCTATACCGTCACAGATGCTCTCCAAGCTTCATTTCTTTTAAAGCAATTCTGACACAGAGAGAAATATGTAATATGGTTTGTGTTCTACTCTGGCGATCAATGATTTCCTCACCTAGTAATAGTAATTACCCACTAAGGCTGATTTTCAATTAAGCGTTTTTCATTAGCACTATACTTATCTCAACCAATACACATTAAATCATACAGAACACACTAAATTCTATCCTTTCATTCAACTAGTTATTTCATAAGTAATATTTAATGGAGGATTGTCCATCATTGGACATTGATGATAAAATTATGTCTATATTATTATAATGTGATGCATCGCAAAAAATTCTAAAATTAATTTCAATATATTTTAGAACAAGCCTTTAGAACAAGGCTTTAAAGAACATGACCTTAAAACAAGACTTTAGATTATGCAGGCTTCAGATTTCAGAAAATAGCTTTAAACCACTTTAGAATATGGCTGAATGGCTTTTAAAACAGCTTTCGTCGGCGTCAAATAATCGCTTTCCTTTTACAGTAAAAAGTTGAACCGGTTCGGCCGCCCCCGCGAAAAGAGTACGGAATTCTTGATTAGTGACACGGCTATAGGCAAAAACAACTCGGCACTGTCTGAGCATTTTTATGATAAACCAAAACATACACAGCAGCACTATTCTGATAGATCAATACCTTTGCTATAGAACTTTTTAAGAAACAAAACTCGAGAGATGAGTACAAATACAGTAGGAATTTCTTCGTGGGAGAGATGACCGGAAATTGTTATTGTTTAAAATTACAACCATGTCGGCGGTTCACAATAAACTTTATTTAGCTTTCACTTTTCTCGGCTTGAACGTTGATTTTTAAAATTATACTTTTCCAGTTCCCCAGTGGCCGTGATCTGATCAGATGGACCGTTTTTTAAGGTATTTAATAAAGCACTCGCAGTTCGTGTTTCATCAGATCTAATTAAAATACTCGGCAGCCGTCTGCTCTTTTAAATCTGATAAGACATTCCTGCGAGTGTTTTTATTGAAGGTTAAACAAGGTGCTCACGTAATGAAGAATATAATAGACATAGTTAATCTAAGACATTCACGGATCTCCCCCTTCCATATAGCTTGGTGGCGCCACTAGCATCAACAAGAACATAAAAGATCTTAATTGCTCACCAATTCTGTAGCAAGAGATGTAATATATTACGACTAACCACAAATAGGTGTGCATCATCGCCCTTAATTTCCTGTGACAAAAGTAGAAAAAAACAATACTAAGTACATTTTCAGTAAATTACTAAATTACTTTATATATATATATATATATATATATATATATATATATATATATATATATATATATATATATATATATATATATATATATATATATATATATATATATATATATATATATATATATATATATATATATATAGTATATATATATATATATATATATATATATATATATATATATATATATATATATATATATATATATATATATATATATATATATATATATATATATATATATATTTATTTATTTATATATATTCTATATGACGAGGCGTAGAACGCCGAAACATGCATGTCTGCAGATTGTACCATTGCGCTCCTTCTTCAGTGTCAGTGTTGTTGAGCACTCGGTGGAGTTGTTAATGGGTGTTTATTAGCGAAATGCAAAGCTCAATTCCCTTGTGGTCGTTTGAGGACTCTGGCCCCATTAGACTCTGCGCATGAATGTCTGGATGCGTTGATGCATGTCATTGTATTGTACCACATGCCTTGGTGATAGCAAGCTCATGTGATATAAATAGGAATGCCTCACGTATCTAGACGTCGGTACCAAACTGCACCGACGATTCTGTGCCGCCGACGAAGCGTACAACGCCGAAACATGCATATACGCAATATTATTTAAAGAATATATAATCCCCCTTCCCCTCCCTCCCCCACAAATATATTATTTGATAATTTTTAACAAATCAAAACTTTTTGGTGTTCCGGTATTCTGTGTTCCGGAATCATGGTGTTCTGTGTGTCTGTGTGTCGGTGTTCCAGGTTTTATTAGCCACCCCCAGTATATTATTTGATAATTTTTAACGAATCAAAAAATTTGGTGTTCCATTATTCCGTGTTTCGGAGTCATGCTGTTCAGGTGTTCCAATGTTCCTGTGTTCCTGGTTTTACTAATACCAGTTAATTTTGTGTTCTGAATTAAAATTTTACTTTGACAAATTTGTAACGTTCCTTTATTAAAAATGTAGCAAGTTTTGAAAAAATGCTTATAAATGGTAGATTTGTTAGTTTATCAAGATTTCGTAAATTACACATTGCCTGAACAGACAATCGGCTAGTAGGGAGTCTAAGCTTCGCGTTTGTACGTTAATTACTAGATAAACAGCAGACAAAGAAATTTTACACTGCAAGACAATATAGAATGAACGAATTCGTCAATGCTTGCACAACTGACAAGAAAATATTTGATCAAAAGACAAATTTTAGGACTACAATATATATATTCCTAAAAGTGTAGTAAATTTGGTCATAAATTTAAGTAATTTCATCTCAAAATTATAGTATAAGTGGATGTACATTATTCTACTCAACTCTCAAGTTTTACTAATTAAGTCACAATTCTCAGAGATATTTTTTCAGCGAACTATTCTAATAAAGATGTTGGTCATACTCGTACTCAAATCGTATCAAACCTAAAACACCAAAGAACATTTGTCGCAGTATAAAGTAAGTTTCATTCTATAGACAAAGGTTAAACTATACGTCAACTAAACCGGTCATATATGACGTTACTCATTGCGATCCTAAATCAAATGCTGTTCCAGTATAATGGTTTAATTTAATACACTGGTAATCAATACATCCACTGCGGGCATCGGTTAAAATTAAACTTTTATAAAAAAATATTAACTTACTTTTATATTGGGAACGTGGAAGTAGCCTTTCGTAGTCGAGATTATAGCAAACAGCAAATTTACACAGGCTGTGTCGATTTTCTGAAATGTACAACCAACAGTACCGCAACAACAATGTAGATTTTTGTCTGATCTATTACTGTATTAGTGTTACGAAATGTAATGAGAGATACCAATTTTGCACTTTCAACTCTCAAGCTTTCCTGTTTATGAAATGCATATACTGATATATAGTAACTCATTCAACAAACGACTGTCTTCATGTTGAGTTGAACAATACCTTCCGCATAAATGAAATAGTTTATAAGCTAATACACTGCGTTTAAAATATTTTCAAGATACGCTTCGCAGCGGCTCTTGGAGGCCGACAAAAGTTCCGGAATCAAGGATGGGTAGTATGCAAATACAGTTGTAGTTCGCTACTGTAGCAAAAGCACAGAGTAAATACCATATACGGAGGTCTCACTTCTTATTAATTTCGGCGTAATGGATTTGTTCTTAGCAAGTGCATGCCCTGAAGAGAGGCCGTCACCCCCCTGAAAACATATTAAATTTCAATGTTTCAGGGGGTGAATACCCCTCTAAAAAGCACTTGCTAAAGCTGGAGTTACACGAGCAACAAAATTGCTGCAACTTGCAACAAAATCTGATTTCAACGCATGTTAAGTAGAAACGTCGACACATGTTGCCTTGTGATTTGTAATTTATGTGTAAACATTTTCAATTAACATGCGTTAAAATCAGATTTTGTTACAAGTTGCAGCAATTTTGTTTCTCGTGTAACTCCACCTTAAGCCATGGCCGCCACATATGCGCAGTAAAAACTACCTTACGTTTTTTCTCGCGAAGTGAGACCTCTGTATGGTTAGTACTCTGTGACAGAGCGGCCAAGTCTCACGGTTTATCCGTGATTCTTCAGATTTTGGGGCTGAACTCCAGCTCTTACGGCTGCATGGACTTACAAATTTCACGGTATGCAGAAAAATTTTTATTGATCAAATTCTGCATCTTTGAATACAAGGAATAAGATTTATGACTACACGTTTACAATTCTTTTCCAATTCTTCTTAATCCGATGAAAAAAGTGCGGGGAACGGAAGCAGAGGTCTAAGAAACAAATATGTTCCAAGAACGTATGCCTTCCAATCTTTACCTCTTGCTGTTTTCTAGTGCAAGACACAGCATTCGTAAGACCGTAGAGGCAAAAAATTTGGATGGGGCCAATGAATCGCACGATGATCGTACTCCCCTCCATTCTGTTTACAATGGCCTTGGTATTCAATCTCGAACTCTGAGCCTGTAATCCTCTGTGGAAGCTTGTTGAGACTCGCTATATACTTCATGTGACCCTTATTATAGTGTATCAGATTGATAACCCACATCACAACCACGCCCTTAACCTCTAACCCCGGGTAATGGATTGCAGGCTCAGGGTTGGAGATTGCCTCCTCCTCCTAAGATAACCGCTATGTTTTTAATCAAATGAACTTCACAGCTCTGCTGTAGCGGATCAGGGCTGCCGGAGCAGTGGTGCGAGGAGGGCACCGGGGCAGGTGTACACTTTGAAAGTCGTGCGTTACTATTTACATAAAGTATAAGAGGATTCAATGAGGCCAGTAACTATTGTTCTGCACATGAATTGAACACCCCCTGGTGCAACACCCCCTCGCCCCAATAATTTTTAAGTTCAAAAGGTTGGTCAAAATATAGTCTTTAGCGTCATGAATCGAAAACAATTGTTCCAATCAATGCCGAAATTTGTTCAGTTATATTGGCCACAAGTAATCGAGTATCCGTACAGCAAAATTTTGACGAACATTGTTACCTACAAATATAAGGGCTCAGAAGTAAGTGCCAATCAAAGATTGTTTCAAGAAATTACATATTGAAAGGAACTGTGCTTTTTATATATTTCCAAATATAGAGAATACAGTTAAAAGAACAATATATCACAGCCTGTCGAAGGTTATAGTCATATAATCCAAGGATATACAGTCATTAATCAATTTTAACCTCTACAAAATAATGTTGCAAGAAATCGCATAACAGTTTTCTTGAGTGTCTCATCTCTCCAGATATAGAAAGTGGAATAAAACGAGCAATAAACCAACAGCAATATTTCGCTAAGCTCACGAAATGCTGACAAATCAGTGTTATATAAAGCAAGAGTTTTGAGTATCGCAGTTGGGAAAACCACGACATCATACACAACTACCATGGTCAGTAAAGTCTTTACTGCTTTCTTGTTGCGTTTCAATCTTTGGGATGATTCCAACTTATTATCTCCAAGATGTTTGGAATTTTTCCAAAGTATACATGCTATGCGAATGAAATAGTATATTTGTAGAAACTGTGCTATCACAATGTTAGTGAAATAAGCCACAGCTATATTAAGTCGTTCAGGACTTATTAGAGAGATATCGTCTACACATCGTGTCGTTCCTTCGATGTAATATTGATTACTTCGTTTAATCCCATTCCATACTTTAGCACCAATACTGCAACAGGCGGTAATGAATAACACCAGATATATCTTCAATTTTTCATGTTTTGTTAGGCGCAGTGGATTGCTGATAGCTTGATAACGACTGCTCGCAAGAATTGTTAAAATCCAAATAGAAAATGCTTTACAGCCTTCCAGCAAGTTAGGTAAAACTTTACACATGATGGAACCCAAAAACCAAGAATTCACTGCAGTCGATGTTGTATAAACGATAAAATATAAGCAAGATTTTACAAAATCGACCAAACACAAGTTGATCATTAAATGATCACCGAGAGGCACAGGTGATTTCTTTGCTAAACTGACGATTAAAAATGTATTACATGAAAGAGCAGCGATCACCAAAAGAAATGATATCAGAGTAAAGAAGACGACTTGGACCAGATTTAAGTTTGGATTTGGAATAATAGAAAACAGGTTTTCACTCGTGGTGTTGCTGTGGTTGGAGAAATTCATCGCGAAGTAGTTTGTCTCTGCTGGAACTTGATGCGCTATCCCTGACAAGCAGATGAGAAATACTTATTAAGACTTTGCACATCCTCCTCCGTATTAAACTAAAACCACTGATTTTTTTAATAAAGCCGTTATTCACAAGTTTATTGAAAACAAAATTTAATTCATACGTATTAATATTAATTTGCAGGAACTTAAAAAACACGTTTGTCAAAATACTCAATTCTGATTGAGTAGTGAAATAGACGATATAGACCCTTCCAAGGTTAACGACGCCATAATGAAACCCCATCGTGCAAAGGGTGAAAACACAATGGAATTCCCTAGGTAAATTTACAGGGAGTGCAAACACAGTGAAAACAATAGATTCAAGATGGCGTTGGAAACCTTTGAATCCCCCTATTGTATTAAAATAGACTTTTTGTGCTATTAATGACCAAGATCAAGGCTTAATGTTGCTTTTTTACTAAAAACGACGTTTCGGAGTTTACTCCATCATTCAGGGGTGCAACTTGCAGTGGCGGCGCCAGGCCTCCAAATTTGGGGGGGCATTTGAGGGGCAAACTCAAATTTTGGGGGGGCAAGATAGAATTTTTGAAAAGGTCGCCCCCCCCCCAGGAGATTCGCCCCCCTCAAAACGTGGCGATATCGCCTCCCAGAGGGGTGGGGCGAATACCCTAGGAATATCGCCCCTCTTTAGGACATTCGCCCCCCATATATGCGATGTGGTTTATTCAAATAATTTCGTGATACTTTCATCTTATTAATGCCTTACACGTTTGAGAATTTAACTCTGCAAAACTAAAGCTTTTTTGTCTTTTTTTGGAACGTATTATTGGAGTATTGGCAAGTTTTACCATTCAGAGATTTACAAACTAATATTGAAACCGTAAAAAACAGTTTCATGTATACGCGCATATATTCACTAATGAGTAATGACAACTTATAAGCCATACATTTTCCGATAACTACAAAACGCTTGTGTAGCCTTTAGTCGCTCTTAGTGACTAATAATTTTTTTTGAGGGGGGCAAAATGGGGGGGGGGCAAAAAATAAATTTGGGAGGGGGGGCATTTGCCCCCCCTTGCCCCCCCCTGGCGCCGCCACTGGCAACTTGACTGTACGTATTAGGGGGATGTGTTCTTCTTGCCCGACATACAGCCAAACATTAAGAAAAATTTGCCCGAGTATTATACCATTTTTAAACTTTGGGGGTGTTACTTTACAATAATAATAGTGTAGTCTTTTAATTAACCTGATGATGCAGTACTTCCAAAATATCGGTTTTAATAAAAAATGTCAAGCCTTGTTTCAACCTCGTACCCAGGCTCTTTCCACTACGCTCCTCGCTGGAGAAGAGCGTAGTGGAAAGAGCCTGGGTACGAGGCTTTGATTTCAATTTTTGGATTCGAGTTCTCGCTCCAGTAATATATGGAGCTCACTGGATGATGCATGTTTATATGCCACGCTTCCTAGCAACCCCCTGTCAAAAACGAATTTTAAATTAATGAGCGTTGATGAATTTTCAATATACAAATAATATATACAATATACAGACTGACTATCAATCATTCTTAAATCGTTGATCAAAAATAGAAAATTTTCGATTTTCTTCAAAAAATCTAAAATAAAATGGAATACAAAATGATATGTTGTACTCATGCAATAGTTTAGCCCGAGTGTCAGACGAATAACGAATTAGCAATAGTTCCAATACGTTGAAATTTATTAATTTCTTTAAAACATTTTATTGTTGCCAAACGTGTATTTTATTAAATTTCTGCAAATTAATGTTAATCTTATGCGTATTAAGTGAAGTATGATATAGCTGAATTTTGTTTTCAATAAATATTTAGGAAACGGCTTTATTAAAATAATCGGTTGTTTTAATAAAACAGAGAGGATGAACAATGCAGCATTTCACACCTGCTTGTCAGGGTTCTGCAGAGACGACTACTTCGCGATGAATTTCTCCAACCACAGTAACAGCACGGTTCAAAATTTGTTGTCAGTAATTCCAAATCCAAACCTAAACCTCGTACAAGTCGTTTTCTTTACACTGTTATCAATATTTCTGGAGATTGCTGCTCTTTTAAGTAACATATTTCTGATGATCAATTTGATGAAGAAATCACCTGTGCCCCTCAGTAATCATTTAATGATCAACCTGTGTGCCGCCGATCTTGTAAAATCTTGCTTATATTTTATCATTTATACGACAGCTACTCCAGCGGATTCTTGGCTTTTGGGTTCCATCATGTGTAAAGTTTTACCCAAATTGCTGGAAGGCTATCAGGGGTTTTCGATTGTCATTTTAACTATTCTTGCAAGGAATCGTTATCACGCTATCAGCAAACCACTGAAGCTAGCCAAAAAGAAAAAATCGAAGACATATGTGGTATTATTTATCTTCTATGTGTTAATTGTTGGAGGAACAGTACATGATGGATTTGAACGAAACCGTGAATATTTCATTGAAGGTGCAACAAGATGTGTAGACAATCTCTTTTTACTAAGCAATGAACGATATATTATAGTGATAATGTATTCCACCTTTACTATAATAGCACACATCCTACAAATATACTATTTCATTCGCATAGCATGCACACTTTGGAAAAATTCCAAACACCTTGGAGATAACAAGTTGGAATCATTCCAAAGATTGAAACGTAACAAGAAAGCAGTAAAGACCATACTGACCATGGTAGTTGTGTATGATGTCGTGGTTTTCCCAACTGCGATACTCAATACTCTTGCTTTATATAACACTGATTTGTCAGCATTTCGTGAGCTAAGCAACATCTTGTTGTTGATTTATTGCTCGTTTAATTCCACTTTCTATATCTGGAGAGATGAGAGACTCAAGAAAACTGTTATGCAATTTCTTGCAAGATTGTTTTGTAGAGGTTAAAATTGACTCTAGTCTTGGTCCATGAGACTATATCACTCTAAGAACACTCTGGTTAACATTTTCCTGGTTGATAAGCGACTCTAATGCTCGACTATAAGGGCTGATATATTGTTCTTTTAACTTTTCTTGCAAGATTTTTTTGTAGAGATTAAAATTGACTATAGCCTTATGTCCATGGGACTATATCACTCTAAGAACACTCGGGTTAAAATGTTCCTGGTTAAATTAAGGGACCGGTCATTATCTTAAGGGAGAGAAATGGAGGTGAGAAAAGGGGGCGGCTTCAACTATTTTTGCCTGAATTGGGGGCGCCCTCAAACTGGAAAATATGTGACAAGGGGCAACTCCAATTCTTTAACCTTATTTGGGTTAATAACCTTATTTGGGTTAATTTAATATTCCTGGTTAATTTAACCCTTTTTCTACTAAAGTCTGGTTAAGTTGGTAGGTTAATTTAACCGGACTATGGCAGAAAACGAGATAAAATAATCAGGAAATCCAACCAGGAAACCCAAATAAGGTTATTTCAAGGTTAACCAGGAACGTCTTAACCAGAGTGTTCTTAGAGTGTATTGCAATTTCACATTTAGTACAAGTTAAAATTCACTGCAGTTTGAAATTCTATCACTATAGTCTTGGACTAATAGATCACAAACTCATTAATAATTCTGAATCATATAAGTGAATTAGCCAACCACATTGCTTTATTTTGCTCACATGATAATACTGGATAGCTGGTGAAGTATATTGATCCAGTCCTAGAACTGGATCAAAATCAATTCAGTCCTTGGATTGGATCAAAATATTTATTCGTATGAGATGTCATTTTAAATCCTCCAATTCGGACTGGACTAGATTTCAAGTCCTAGCATTTTGATCCAGTCCTCGGCTTCGCTTCGGACTTGATCAAATTGCGCGGACTTGAAATTTAGTCCAGTCCTCTGATATAAATACTACGTCCACACTATAGGAGTATGATCTTGGATAAGTCTTGAAGTATTAGGATTGTCATATATTCTTCTTTTGGCGACCCAATTGGAGGCAAATCTACCGGGAGTTACGCTAATACGCCGGAAAATAAATATTGAAAGAGAGAAAGTCAACAAATTTGACAAAAACTGACTAAGAAAACTGCGCCCAGGATAGTGCACAATTTCTACGGTCCTGTTGCATGTCCAATGCCAAAGGCATCGACTTGACTAAAACATCACAGCGGAAACATTTGTAGCTTGAAGTTCGGAGTAACATTTAATCAATGTACCAAATTTGAAATTGTTATTTACATGATTATAAATGTATTTATTATATACCAAGTGTCAAAGTTCATGTTTTCTTGCACCTCACTGGACGAAAGCTGTTTCCTGGCATCACGCGCTCCGAGCGGTATATTTACTGGTGAATAGTAAAACCGTCGAGTTATAAATCAAACATCACGGATGTTATCCATTTCTTATTTTATTTCTTTCACACCTGAGGTCGGTTGTTCGAAAGTCGATTAGCCTAACCCTAGGTTAATCTAAAATACAAAGCAAACTTCCCGACAGCTTGTTAATAAATTTAGAAATGTTTCTTCAGAAATCTTGACTGGATTGGTAGGAGTTTACCTCCCTGGGGTTTTAAAATAATCAGACGTGTACAAATATACACAAACCAAAACAGCTGGTTAAACTTTAACCGAAAATTACAGCGCTAATCCACCTTTGAAAACCGAACCTTGGTATATAATAAAATACTCACTGAGTGGGACTTTCGGGGAAACAGTTTGTTTTGCGGACCCTCGATTGACAACGTTTCATGGCAGTCTCGGGTCTACAAAACATATCATACTGTTTCCTTCGATCCCAGTCAATAATTAGTGTTAAATATCATTGAAGCAGTGATACAGTAGAGGAAAGGGTATCTGATTACATTATTTCACAATTGTATGGAGTAAAAACCACCATAAAAGGATCACTAATCGTATGAAATCAGGACGCATGAAATCATTATCAAACACTGCAAAAAAACCCACAAAATAATAGATCTCTATTATTTCTATGGAAAAAACCCGACTAATTGTACTAAAAAACGTGAGCAAAATTACTCAAATTGATGAGCAAATGTTTTGAGTACAACTTCAAATGTATTCAATTTTTGAAGTAAATATTTACTTTACTCGAATAAAATTTGAGCAAATTTACCCAATACTTTGAGTCACTATATGCATATGGGTGCAATAGAATTGAGTTAGAATTTTTGGAGTGAGTCGTTCTAAATTCTACTTCAAAAACAATTGTTACTGATGTAGTATGGACACTGATAATCTCCAAATCAGATAATTTTGGGGGATATAACAGTTTATTTTTTCAATAAAAACACCTTTCATATACAGTGAGCTCCATATATAACTGAAGCGAGAATTCGAGTACAAAAAGTGAAGCCAGCTTCGTTTTAACCGCGCAGACAAAAACAATAGAAAGGAACTGGAACTGACATACTATAGCTCTTCAATTTCCGCCATCTTGGCAAGGAGTGTGGCTAAATTTCGTATTTTGACTTCGGTTTGAAGTCAACTAACATGATTTTATGAACTGAAAACTTGATAAGCGATATGGTCCGTAAGAAAAAATTGTATAAAACCTTCAGAGCTATTGGACATCAATGGCTGCCATCATGGCTTCACTTTTCTCATAGGCCGAAAAGTGAACTCTATTTAGACTGGAACGATAACTGACTGTAATTTGGCCGCCATCTTTGAAGCCAATTTGAAGCCGAATTGACGTACAGTGCCAGTCCGTTTCTATTGTTTTTGTAAGCGCGGTTGTCAACCGCGCTTACAAAAACAATATAAAGGGACTGGCACTGTACGTCAATTCAGCTTCATATTGGCTTCAAAGATGGCGGCCAAGTTATCGTTCCAGTCTAAATAGAGTTCACTGAGGCCAAATGACTGAAATTCTTGCTCCAGGCATACATAGAGCTCACTGGTCATACACAGCAGTTGTGGCTCAGAGTGGGGCATTTTGGGAGGTTTATAAACATGCACCGCACGACGATGAACTATTTCTAAGAATAAATGTTATACAATTTCTGATACTCTTGGTCTCAAATTTCTTTCAAATTACCAAAGAAACATTGATTCAAATGAAAATACGATTTAAAAGCGATTCGAAACCAAAAGTAACATAATAGTATGGTAGTTGTATATTATTGCCGAAGCAATCAAATTCACATATACATGTATGTGATGCATATCTTCAATCTAATATTCAGAAAATATTCAAAAATCATTCTAATTGCTGCAGCATTTGAAGTTGTTTAAGCACTTTACTTTGACTTGTCTCCCGAATCTCTCCCGCTAAGAACATTTCATCAACAACAGCATAAACCTGGAAAATATACAACATAGAAAGTAATGTTGAAAAGATTTGTGGACGGTAATTTTGAGTGGAATTTATATACAATTATTAGACCTACCCAGGAGCAGTTGCAAAAAATGCAACTACCGACCCTCTGGCAGGAATCGAACCTGCAATTCTGGTACAGCAGTCTAACCAACTGAGCTACAGAGACACAGTTGTCGACAGGCCGTAGCGAAGAGGCTAAAGCGGGAAGATGCGGCCTAAACCTACCTGAGATTCCGGTACCCTACCGACCCTATTTTTTTCTGCCGACCCTATTATTTTTCAACGCGATTGACCGTGCGACCCTATTTTCGCCGGGTGGTTGCGGACTGCCGCCAAAATGGCGTCTGTTGTCACACTAATTATTGAAAAAACCATGAAAAAAATATTCAAAAAAAAATTTATTTCCGACCTACCGACCCTAATTTTTTCGCGATATGAAACCGGAACCACAGGTACTTTTTTTAGGCCTGGATAGTAGTATCACATTTGCCGACAACATTTCAGATTGATGTACCCTAATCTCATGAATTTTCGGTAATATTTTGGTAATTTAATCAAATTTTTTGCTATAACTATTAATCTTTAATCCCAGCCACTCTAATATTCTCGATGTCTACAAAACAATTTGCCGATAAATCTATTATTTTGCCGACATGTTTTCAGAAGGGAGTGACACCCCCACCCTCTCCCTCCTATAGCGTCGACCGTCCTGGTTGTCGAGCTGTAACCTCAAGTTCATGTGTATATATAGCTAATTGAATTAAGGTTGCCCGTTCAAAGTCAGAATTTCAAACCGCAATTAATTAACCTCGGCCTCTATGCGCGAAAAGCACGATGGATAAATGGGTTTGAATACAATATGTAATTCATACTTCCGACACTCCGTAGTTACGGTCGCTACGTCCCACCAGCCGTTTTGCTTTTGCGTATTTTACGAATGGGTGATTCCAGCTATACACTAAATTTTGATCAAGGCAATAGACAACTTGCATGTTAGACAAATTTTTGATCTAACCGATCTAGGCAAAAAAAAAGTAAATTCCCGTTAAGAACTTATTAAAATTAGTAAACTTGCAAAATTTGGTTGCGAAATGTTGTAAAGCTTGAAAAATATAGCCTTGCAAAGTTTGCATATTTTCAGTATATTTGTATTACGTGCGGAAATTGTTACCATTTTTGAGCCGAAAATGGTAACAATTTCCGCTCGTAATACAAATATACTGAAAATATGCAAACTTTGCAAGGCTATATTTTCCAAGCTTTACAACATTTCGCAGCCAAATTTTGCACTTTTACTAATTTCAGTATGCTCTTTTTACCTGTGGTGTTTGATTCCCTTTTCTATGCTTAGATTAAAATTTAGTCTAACATGCAAGTTGTCCATTAAGAAGGACGAAATCCAACACCAGAGCTAGAAAGAGCATCTTAGAAAGAGTAAAACTGCAAAAATCTGTTGCTACATGTTGTAAAACGAAGTTGGTTGCTACGTTTTGTAAAACAATATAGACCCGTGAAGTTCGCAAATTTTGTATATACTTGTACTACAAGTGGAAAAATATCCACTTTCGGCACAAAAAATGGTTGTTTTTCCTGCACGTAATGCAAATATGTACATTTTTCTTCATTTTACAACAATTCGCAACCAAACCGAACCCACGACCATCATATTTCTAGAAGATGCTCTACCGTCTGAGCTACAAGGCAAAGTTAGGAACGATGTTATTGACATTTCGGAATGTCTTCCTTCGATGTCTGATAGCAGCTGTTACTCTGGTAAATGTTATATATATGACTATAAATATTAATGTGTATTTATCTATTATGGCCGGTTGATGTTTAATGAAAAGAAATGGATAAATACAACTCCAAAACAACGTTAACTTAAAATAATTTTTAAAATGAATGATGCTTAAAATTGCGCTAAAATGACAGGCCACTTAAGTCGCCTGTCTACAAAAGCTGCTTTGTTTTAAAAGCAACGCAATGTTTGAAGTGTTGCCAGATGTTTCCTACACGCAACGGACATGCAGTATTGGAAAGAAGAACAAGGAACAACGATGAATTATAATTGGACAAACTCAAGATCTTTTTACCCAAGCAAACGTGACCGTGATCATAGTGTTATCTCAGTGGTATTTAGTTTCATCTACTTATTTGTTGGTGTGTTGGGAAACATTGCAGTTATTATTTATCACAATTTTCTGAACCACGACAAGTCTCCAAGCAGCTGGTTGGTTACACATCTTGCCTTCGCTGATCTTCTCGTCTGCTTAACACTTTATCCAGAAAGAATTGTTCGGTTCTTTCATGCAGAAGTGAGAGATGAAAGATTGGTGTTTTGCAAGATAAAATTTACCACATTTTATGTTTCCTTATTCCTTTCCATAATGATTCTGCTGTCCATCACAGTTGACAAATATCTGTATATAGCGAAGCCGCAGCAATATCCACTGATCGTAAGAATACGAAGAACTAAGATACTTCTCAGTTGTATCTGGTTAGCTGCCTTGGTTCAGCTCCCACTCATATATATTGACATGGGCACCGATGAGAGAGAATGTTATACTTCACAACCCGTTGCATGGTTGGAGGTCATCCTACAGTTAGCCGCCATTTGTGTCATGACAATTCTGAATTACAGAATGTTCAAGATCGCCAAAGATCAAAGACAAAGGATGGCATTAGAATTCGTGTTACAGCCTCGACAGTCAGAACAAGTACAGTCTGAACAAGTACAGTCTGAACAAGTACAGTCAGAACAAGTACAGTCAGAACAAATACAGTCTGAACAAGTACAGTCTGAACAAGTACAGTCAGAACAAGTACAGTCAGAACAAGTACAGTCAGAACAAATACAGTCTGAACAAGTACAGTCTGAACAAGTACAGTCTGAACAAGTACAGTCTGAACAAGTACAGTCTGAACAAGTACAGTCAGAACAAGTACAGTCAGAACAAGTACAGTCAGAACAAATACAGTCTGAACAAGTACAGTCTGAACAAGTACAGTCTGAACAAGTACAGTCTGAACAAGTACAGTCAGAACAAGTACAGTCAGAACAAATACAGTCTGAACAAGTACAGTCTGAACAAATACAGTCTGAACAAGTACAGTCAGAACAAATACAGTCTGAACAAGTACAGTCTGAACAAATACAGTCTGAACAAGTACAGTCAGAACAAATACAGTCTAAACAAGTACAGTCAGAACAAATACAGTCTGAACAAGTACAGTCTGAACAAGTACAGTCTGAACAAGTACAGTCTGAACAAGTACAGTCTGAACAAATACAGTCTGAACAAGTACAGTCTGAACAAGTACAGTCTGAACAAGTACAGTCAGAACAAGTACAGTCTGAACAAGTACAGTCAGAACAAGTACAGTCTGAACAAGTACAGTCTGAACAAGTACAGTCAGAACAAGTACAGTCTGAACAAGTACAGTCAGAACAAGTACAGTCAGAACAAGTACAGTCTGAACAAATACAGTCTGAACAAGTACAGTCTGAACAAGTACAGTCTGAACAAGTACAGTCAGAACAAGTACAGTCTGAACAAGTACAGTCTGAACAAGTACAGTCAAGTACAGTCAGAACAAGTACAGTCAGAACAAGTACAGTCTGAACAAATACAGTCTGAACAAGTACAGTCAGAACAAGTACAGTCTGAACAAGTACAGTCTGAACAAGTACAGTCAGAACAAATACAGTCTGAACAAGTACAGTCTGAACAAGTACAGTCAGAACAAGTACAGTCTGAACAAGTACAGTCAGAACAAGTACAGTCTGAACAAGTACAGTCTGAACAAGTACAGTCTGAACAAGTACAGTCTGAACAAGTACAGTCTGAACTCTGAACAAGTACAGTCTGAACAAGTACAGTCTGAACAAGTACAGTCTGAACAAGTACAGTCAGAACAAGTACAGTCTGAACAAGTACAGTCTGAACAAGTACAGTCAGAACAAGTACAGTCAGAACAAGTACAGTCAGAACAAATACAGTCTGAACAAGTACAGTCTGAACAAGTACAGTCTGAACAAGTACAGTCTGAACAAGTACAGTCTGAACAAGTACAGTCAGAACAAGTACAGTCTGAACAAGTACAGTCAGAACAAGTACAGTCAGAACAAGTACAGTCAGAACAAGTACAGTCTGAACAAGTACAGTCTGAACAAGTACAGTCAGAACAAGTACAGTCTGAACAAGTACAGTCTGAACAAGTACAGTCTGAACTCTGAACAAGTACAGTCTGAACAAGTACAGTCTGAACAAGTACAGTCTGAACAAGTACAGTCTGAACAAGTACAGTCTGAACAAGTACAGTCTGAACAAGTACAGTCTGAACAAGTACAGTCAGAACAAGTACAGTCAGAACAAGTACAGTCTGAACAAGTACAGTCAGAACAAGTACAGTCAGAACAAGTACAGTCAGAACAAATACAGTCTGAATAAGTACAGTCTGAACAAGTACAGTCTGAACAAGTACAGTCTGAACAAGTACAGTCAGAACAAGTACAGTCAGAACAAATACAGTCTGAACAAGTACAGTCTGAACAAATACAGTCTGAACAAGTACAGTCAGAACAAGTACAGTCTGAACAAGTACAGTCTGAACAAGTACAGTCTGAACAAGTACAGTCAGAACAAGTACAGTCAGAACAAATACAGTCTGAACAAGTACAGTCTGAACAAGTACAGTCTGAACAAGTACAGTCTGAACTCTGAACAAGTACAGTCTGAACAAGTACAGTCAGAACAAGTACAGTCTGAGGAAAACATGACTTGGTTACGTCATCTGGAAAAGGAATTGAAAGCTATGAAGACATTCGCCATTTTCGTTGGAATCTTGACAATTTGTTTTGTTCCATATATTGTCGCGAACGTGATTTGTACTTCTGACTATGATTCATGTTTCTCACACGCTGCATATTTGATCATTCTCCAGCTGGTTGGAATAAACTCGATTGCAAAGGCCCTCATCTATGCATTGAGACATAAGAAATACATAAGAGCTTATAGGAAACTCTTTTCCTCTGCCTGGGCACGGCTCTTCCCACAAAATAACTGACTTATTGATTGATTATATATAGATATAACTCCTACCTTTTTTCCAGAAAGTGGTATCAATTTCCCGTGCGCAATACAAAATGACTGAAAAACGGCAAACTTCGCAGTGCTATATTATCCGCATTTTACAACATTTCGCAACGAAACCTCGGAATATTACTAATTTAGTGATGCTCTTTCAAGCTGTGGTGAAATGTTTGTCTAGACTTGTCTAAATCAAAATTTTGTTCATTAGGGAATAGGTCTATTGAAATAGCTGTATGTGTAAGACTGACATGCCTTGGCATGAAACATGTTTGAACTGATGCATGGGACTCAGGAATATTGGAGTAAATTGTAGTGTTTGTATATGCAACTGCGCTTCTTGTTCTAACTCATAGTTTGAATATCTTTCAGAAACTTGTATTTTATTTTATTTTAAAGACGAGGTACACAGTGAGTATTAAGTTTGTAAGTAAAGTGCGCAGGTACGCGGTAATAGTCTTTGGCGTACAAGCAAGGTACGACTAAAAATCTTTCAATTATCGCACCCCGGCAAATTTAGTATTAGATTTGCTAGCCCAAAGACGTGGAATGATATTAATGAAGATCTTAAAAATCTTGGAAAGTCTAAATTTAAACAAGAATTAAAAAATGTACTATTGCAGTCTTACTCTAATATGTAATTTTTTTTTCTAAATTTTTTGTCTTACTAGCGATTTCGTGCTGTAAATATATTGCATGTATTAATCACTGTTAAATTATTGTTGTTATAGCTGTCTTGTTCAGCCTCATGGTCGTTACAGTTAGCTTGTACCTACTACTATGTTTTAATCTTTTCTTCTCATAATGGTAATTATGGTACTGTATATATAATTAATAAATGATTCTGATTCCTGCATGGTTATGATGACTTTTCGATAGTAAGTTCAAATGTCATTTACGGTAGAATATCGGTATGGCCGTATGGGCTGATATCTGCCCTTGGACATCGGTTGTTGGAATATCGGTAAATTTTCATGTCGGTGCATCACTAGCAAAAATTGATATGAAATGCATGGAGGGGTACAAACGTCCCCCAATATATGTAATGTAGTAATTCTCTCACTTTTTTAAGGCATTCAAACCATATGTATCCTGATGCTTGTGATGTTACTCTGAGTGTATATCCACACCGGGCAAGCTTGAAAAATATGCCTGGCCACGGTGGGAATCAAACCTACTGTACGACCTTTGGAATACTAGCCCAATGCTCTGTCAACTGAGCTACGCGGTCGATCAGGTCGGTTCGAGTATGTGATATTTTGGAACTGAGTCTAGTTCCTTCGATATCGATGTAATCTAGTAATCATGAATTTTTTCTGTGTTGGTGTAATGTACTCAGGTGAATATGATGTTTGTGATGTTACTCTGAGTGTATATCCACACTCAGCAGGCTTCAAAAATATGCCTGGCCACAGTGGTAATCGAACCTGCGACCTTTGGAATACTAGCCCAATACTCTGCCAACTGAGCTATCTGGTCAGGTCGGTTCGAGTATGATATTTCGTCGTCTAGTTCCTTCGATATCGATGCAATCTAGTAATCATGATTTTTTTTTCGAACCGACCTGACCGCGTAGCTCAGTTGGCAGAGCATTGGGCTAGTATTCCAAAGATCGTAGGTTCGACTTCCACCGTGGCCAGGCATATTTTTCAAGCTTGCCCGGTGTGGATATACACTCAGAGTAACATCACAAGCATTATATTCACCTGAGTTCAGTACACCAACACAGAAAAAATTAATATGTATCCTACTAATTTTGGGCTGATTTTTCATTGGTAAAGTTAATTTGTAAATTTTGTTTTAACACTCTATCATCAACATCGGAATGGATAACTAGCATAATAGCCTTTACTGTTGGAAGAAGTTATTTCGCTGACCTCAGAATGACATTTCATCAAAACTTTCTTTTCAAGATTGTTTAGAAACAAACTTGGAGTAGGGTTAGGTTAGGGTTAGACTATTTGATTTTTGATATGGGGGGGAGTTTGGGGGGGGGGTAGATTTTCACTGGAGCAAGAGAGCAATAAACAGTACAGTCAATCAATTAGTAATAGTAATTGGAGTGGACAAACAGTCATTACATATACACATACATACCTTATAAAAATTGAAAACTAAATCAAGTTCACATACATTATGGAAGAATTCATTCAAAACCTAAAGCAAATAAAATGTCATTCACCAATATGTATTTACAGCGCTTTTCACTTGAGCTTGAAATGGCAGTAATGATGTTCACATTTCCAGTCAATATTCAAATGAAAATAAGGCATGTTGTCATTTTCAATTAACAGTGGCTAAGATTGGATTAGTGTATATGATGATGGGCTTTCAGGGGGTGAAAAATACTTCAGAAATATCTTGAGAGGCAGAGAGCTGTCATTAAATTTAGATGCATGCATATGACCATGCTAATATAAATGCAGGGTGCTAATTACGGTCAAAACGACGAAGGCTCCTACACACGCAAACTGTTACAGATCTTCAAACAAGTTGTAACAAGCTTGCTGTCAAGTCGATATCAGGATGTGTTCGCACTGCTTGTTCCCAGTTATTGTAACAAGTCTGAAACAAGTTGTTATCATCTTGTTACAAGGTTGTTCCAACAAGACTAATACGAGGTGTTCGTAACAAGTTGCATCAGACTTATTGGAACAACTTGTTGCGAGTATGTTGGCCTCATCAACCTTGTTACAACAAGATGATAACAACTTGTTCCAGACTTGTCAACAACTGGGAACAAATGTGTGAACAAATCTTGTTGACAAGCTGTGAGATTTTTTGGGATGCGATTTTACAGAATTCTGAAGATTACAAAAGTTCTATACAATGTGCAAAAAATGGTACTTTTCAAGACGTAGCCTGACCAGTTTAGATGATTGAATCTTTTGCCACAATTTTGATATTCTGCAGTAGAGGAGACAAAAAGAAGAAAGTACTGTATTTTACTGTCTATTGCTTAAGTTTTGTTTGCATAATTTTGTTGAGTCAAAAGTAGGCACCTGCAGATACATGCAGGCAAGCATCCAGTCGTTTTGGCTGGCTACCAGTTCATGAGAGCCCTGCGAGGTGGGACGTATATAAAGCTGGGCATATATAAACCGTACAGTTTTCCCTGACAAGGTTTAATTTAACAACTTTAATTTGGCACATAAAAAACTGAATATTTACATAACTTAAACGGACAATTACATTGTACAAGAAGACGAGGAAAGTGCCAAAAGTGGCAAAACACAAACGAGACTATGTCCCATGGTTTATTTGCTCATCAAAAAATTGTTAATCAAAAAATTGTTTGCCAAGTAGCCTTGTCCCAAAGCTAGTCATTCCAGCTTTTGGACAAGGAAAACTTGTTAATGTGTATGGCTGGCAAGGAAAATTTGACATTTGTGCAAAAGTACTTTTGTGGTTTTGGCAAAAAAAGGCAGCCTTGACGCGAGATACAACTGTTTAACAACTTAATATTACAACAAAACTTGTCGAGGAAAACTTGTCAACAAATCTTGCTTATCTGTACAGGGTTAAAACGTTTAATGAGTTTTCAAAGCATCAGAAGATGAGCCTTAACACAAGTAGCAAATTCCAGTCAAGTCACGAGCTGACAGTCTAAAATAAATTTCGGTACACTATTGACTCATTTGAGTATGAAAATTTCAATTCTGGGACAGTTTTGTGCTGTAGATAGTAAACTGGAAACTTGATGATGCAGATTCGGATCGGAGAATACATGTTGTGTGAAGGAATTTCAAGAAAACACAACAGAGCTGTATTATGTGTACTTTATTGTATGTTCCTTTGATACTATTGGGGTACACCTTGTGTTTTTCTGTGTACAATAGTGAAGCCCAGCAGTGAGCTCCATATATACTGGAGCAAGAACTTCAGTCATTTGGCATAAAACCATCGTGTTATAAATTACAAGTTAAATAAATTATAAGTGACAGAAATTTTGTCTATCGTAGTAAGGGGGGGCACAAATTTCCTCTGGCCCGAGGGGTCCACCCCTGATCACCAGTGGCCTCTCCTTTGAGTTTTTTTCTGAAATTTGGAATATTAAACAATGAAGCTGACTTACTTCAACAAAGTTGTGTATAGCTTCTAAGTAATAGAGGTTATTATCCTGGACGTCAACACAAATACAGAAGTATAACCCAGCGTATCTTCTATAAACAATCTTGAAATTCCGGAACTGAAAGGAAAATACATTATTAGGTAAGCTTCGATCAGTAAGTACTGTACTTTGTTTTGTTAAAAATGCTAGATGGGTGACCAGGATTCATAATAAAGTTTCTGAAACGTTCTCTGATTGTAAATTTTTATTTAAAGTTTAATGTTCTTATCAACACTCTACCCTAGATGAGTAAAATCATCGCATTAGAGCACAATGAAACTTAATAGTTATAATCACCATACTGTCCAGCTGCCCTGTGGGCTCCAATGTTAGAATTTGGACAGCCACTTGAAAATGTCCGCATTTAATTAGCTGATTATCATATTTTTGCCTTCCAAATCTGTATTTGATGGTAGCAATTACACACAATAGATTCATATATTTTACAATAAGGTCTTGTTATTGTGTTCCACAGTTGTCTAAGAATGTTTGTTATTTTCATTAACCCATTAAGTTGCATTGTGTCCTAATGATTTTACTTGCCAAGTGGAGAGTGCTGGCACTTAATGAGTTAATCAGACTATGTGACCATATTGTCTAGTTAACCCACTAAGTTGCATTGCACCTCAGGGCTTGAGGGTGGTGTGCCACTGCCCAATGATACTAAACATTAAAAAGTTGGTCAAAATGTTTTGTTGTTGGTCAAAGGAAATATTAAGAGTGAATACGCTAACATTTGAAAAAATACACAGTCTTTCATCAATATTGAAATTTGGTCGAATTTGTTTTTGGTCAAAATACATTGAGAAAAAAGTGCGATTAAATTTTGACTGTAATGTTAGTGTTTGTTTTGGGACCAGTTTCTGTCAATAACTCCGATTGCTTTACAATCAACACAGATCTTGCAATTCTAGCATTTATCACAGAGATACTCAAAACCGTTAAATCAATTTTATTGCATGCAAAACATTAAGCACTTGACTTTATCATCCAGAAGTTGAAAGGAAATACTAAAACAAATGCTGTGTCCAGTGAATGTTGACAGACCAGGACCGATGCCAAAGATTAAATGTTGCTCCATCAATGGTATATTTTTTGTCTAGTTATTTGAAAGAGCTTTAAACATTTATTGCAATCATCAAATTATTAACCCATTGAGTGGCAGCACTCTCCCCCTGACAAGTAAAATTGTCTGGCATTAGACAAAGTAAAATAATAAAGTAGAGCGCATCTGGGCGCATTGCCACTTAGGCCATGGGAATGAAAGTCATAGTCCACTGCTCGCATGCCTCAAAAGCTACAGCCAAAATTTTCATTATTTACAAAAAAAAATATCATTATTTTCACAAATAAAGCAAAACTCAATAAAATTAGCAATAAAATTGTGTATTGATTACAATGAAATGAACATATTGCAGTATGTTTGTCCTCAGTATCCAAATTCTATGAAATTCCAAATTATATTCAACGAAATTGCGAAATTGGCACACATATCTTCAGTGCTGCAACCGTGTGAGCTCATGATATACTTATCATTTATAGACCCGGAGCGAGGGGGATTCGGCGTAATATTTCCCGAAGTGATGATATTTTCCGAGGGGCTTTGCCCCAAGGAAAATATCATCACTGAGGAAAATATCGCCGAATCCCACGAGCAGAGGGTCTATAAATGATATATTATACCGAAAGTTAAAGAACTCACTAAGTTCAGAATAAACTTTAAAACTTGCTGAATATTAACTACGCGAATACAATTTTTAATTTCTTATGTATACCTGAGTTTTTGACGTTTCCTCTTTAAAATGTTTGAGTATGTATCCTTTGGATCATTAAAGGTAACATACTGTACGTCTTGAAAATCTTTGGTTAAATCAAATCTGCTGTACGAAATTACAAACAACAGCTCGCATACGCCATATCGTTTCAGAGCGTGGTGTCCACGCGTCACGCATGAGCGTGGGATACTATAATATCCCACGGTGGATCTGGCGTGGGATATTATAGTATCTCACTCTCATGCTGCATTGCGAAATCGTGAATTTGAGTGAAATATCGTAAAAAATCACATTATCACGTGGTACAAATGCTGTTTTTTCATTGGACAATTTGAATTTGAGGTATAATATTGTATGTAATTCCACATAGTAAACGGTAATTTGTGTTTTGATCTCTGTATTTACCACTCAAAAGAATGGTAAAAAAATAATGAATGAAAAAAAAAGCTGCATGCTTTTTCAAAATTACCTGGATGCAAATCTATGACTTTCATTCCCATGGCCTTACAGTCGATTTCACGAAACTTTGACTACAAATGTTCCGAACTTCGTTGCGAAGTTCGGAAGCTCATATTGGAATTCACAAGCCAATTTGTAAACAAAGTCCCTGATTGGTCCGTGAAGTAAAAGAAGCCAATCAAATGCGTAGTTTACGAACTGGTTTGTGAATCTCATTATGAACTTTTGAACTTTGCAACAATCTTGTGAACTTCGCAACGAAGTTCGGAAAATTTGTGGTCAAAGTTTTGTGAAATCAACTGTAAAGGGATATAAACACTCATTCTTGAGCTGAAATTCAGACCCCATCATCGAGTAATCATGTTGCATAAAATATGAACATGCTACAGCATGTTTTCTATTTCTCACAGCTTACATAGCAGACATAAAGCCTGCTGCACATGAGCGCACTTGTCGCGCGTACTTGTTATTCGTGACAAGTTGGATCGACAAAATTTCCTTGGGCTAGATTATAGAATACCCGTCCACTTTTGTGACTATTTTATTTTCGTGATACGATGATACGAAGTGAAAGTCATGACGTAATCATTTTAGTAGCGAGTTATTATAAAAAGCCTATAAGATGATACGAAGTGAACATAATGACGTCATTATTATAAGTCGCGTCATTTTTTAGGACTGGGCAAGGTATTTTTTCACTGAGTGATACGATGATACGAAGTGAAATTAAAAAACGTAATTATTATAAATTCCGGTTATTTAGTGAAACTGGGCAAGCTATTTTTTAGTGATACGATGATACGAAGTGAAATTAACGCAAAATATCACTACTATAGTGTATTCCTCATTCTTAAAAGAACACGCAACAGATCACTACTATAGTATATTCCTCCTCAATAAAAACACACATAATATCACTACTATACTGTATTTCTCGTTCTCAAAAAAACACGCAAAATATCACTATTATAGTGTATTGTTCGTTCTCAAAAAAACACGCAAAATATCACTATTATCGTGTATTCCTTGTTCACGTAACGTGTTTTCAAATTGCTTTTTCTCCTTTCACTAACATTTCAGCAATGTAACAACCTCTCCTATTACCAAACTTCCTTACTTAATTACCTCATTTATCATCTGCCTGTCAAGATCATATCACAATAAACCGATTGAATGTCATACAGTGTCACTTCATCGCTACTGTTAAACTCTTCGCAAGCGCACTTATAATAATTACGTCACTTCATTTCACTTTGTATCATCGTATCATTGAAAAATATACCTTACCCAGTCTTAATAAATAACGCGCACTTATAATAATTACGTCACTTCATTTCACTTCGTATCATCGTATCACTGAAAAATATACCTTGCCCAGTCTTAATAAATAACGCGCACTTATAATAATTACGTCACTTCATTTCACTTCGTATCATCATATCATCGTATCATTGAAAAATATACCTTGCCCAGTCTTAATAAATAATGCGCATTTATAATAATTACGTCACTTCATTTCACTTCGTATCATCGTATCATCGTATTACTGAAAAATATACTTTGCCCAGTCTTATTAAATAACGCGCACTTATAATAATTACGCCACTTCATTTCACTTCGTATCATCGTATCATTGAAAAATATACCTTGCCCAGTCTTAATAAATAACGCGCACTTATAATAATTACGTCACTTCATTTCACTTCGTATCATCGTATCATTGAAAAATATACTTTGCCCAGTTTTAATAAATAACGCGCACTTATAATAATTACGTCATTTCATTTCACTTCGTATCATCGTATCATTGAAAAATATACTTTGCCCAGTCTTAATAAACAACGCGCACTTATAATAATTACGTCACTTCATTTCACTTCGTATCATCGTATCATGATAACAAGTATATCTTGAAAAATGGACGGGTATTCTATAATCGCTCCTTTCCTTGTGTGCGGGCAACATTTATGGCATTTTCATCATTCGTGACATGTAAACCAAATATCAAACATGTTTGATATTTTTTGTCATTTGTGAAAAAAAATTCTCGTGTGCGGCGAGCAAACAACAAGCGTGCCTGAATAGGAAAATTTGCGCATGCGTGCAACTAGGTGTTAAAACAACATGGCGGATCAAAATCACGAGCACACACGTGCAAATTTTCCTATTCAGGTGCGCTTGTTGTTTGCTCGCCGCACACGAGAATTTTTTTGTCACAAATGACGGAAAATATCAAATATGTTCAGGGCGCGAAATAACGGCCGGTCAACGGACAATGTCCGGCCAGAATGCAGAATTGTCCGGTCAAATTCTTACCTTGCCGGTCATTTTGACCGATTACTTTTGGTAAAAGAACAAACAACTAATCTTCATTTGAATTAATAATCAAAACAATGTTGTCAAGCATTATAATTAAGAACCATAACATGTTGTCCAATATCTTGCGGGAAAATAAATGCAATGTACGCCAGTTTTCCCACGCAGTACGTCACAATTAAAGCCCATGGCCATGCTTTTGGCTTAAGAGTTAATTATTAGTTAGCGCAGTGCAAGTTGTTTTATGTGAAGGACTTTTTAATTACTGATTACAGTAAGGCTTTTTGTAATGCTATACGGGAAAATAGTCACATTTTTAGGGATATACTTTACTAGGCTTTGCTTTAAGCTGAATAATATGACCGGCCAGAAATACGGTATGTCCGAGCTAAAATTGAGTTGGCCGGTCACCTTGACCGGCGTCCCTCCAGCCGTTATTTCGCGCCCTGAATATGTTTGATATTTGGTTTACATGTCACAAATGAACGAAAATGCCGTAAATGTTGCCCGCACACGAGGAAATTTTGTCGATCCAACTTGTCACGAATAACAAGTACGCGCGACAAGTGCGCTCGTGTGCGGTGGGCTTAATGTAACAAATATGAGAAAAACTGTACGACAAAAACGAATAAATGACAGACTGCCACTTTTTGTCTTGGTTGGACATTTGTCCCTCCAAGCAAAATAATTAAATATTTGCTTGCTACACAACTTTTTATTGGAAACACATGAAGCACGGCATCTGAAACAGGTCAAAGTTAGTTTGTGTTAGTCTATTCATATTAGCCCCAACAACTTATTAAATATTTGCAATATTTTCATATCATACATGTGAAAATATTGCAACTAATGTATAATAATCATATATTGGTCAATTTGTGATGATTGAAATCAAACAAAACAGATGCATTAAACAAAATAACATCATTAAAGACTTACTTCAACAAAGTTTGTGTGTTTAGCGTCTCGCACCGTGACTAAAGCATGTACTTCCTCGATTAATTTTTGCTTTTCATCATCATCAAAATTCATGTACCATTTTGCAAGTCGCGTTTTCCCCGCCCGGTTTTGGATCAGAATGAACCGAATCTGTGGGAAAAAAACGAAGGAATATGATGTATATGTACTATTCAAGTAAACTTTGTTAAATTTGGTCAAAATATGCAGTGAAATAGTACAAAAAATCACACAAACCATTTTCCAAAACTTCGTCTTGTATATCTTGTAAAATACGTCTGGACTTTCCGAACGCGTACGATCTTTTCCGAAATCGTTCCGACCTTTTCACCTGTAGCTTGTTACACCTGATGATAAAAGGGTGTTATTCCCGCAGGTCCCACAAACCACCGATTGATAAAATAAAATGCGGTTCTTCAATAATTTAAAATATTTTTTATCAACACTGCAAGCTGATTGTGCAGCTCTCTCGCTTGAAAAATTGATAAGAAGTTCTTAATTAAATTTATATGCTTTATTCATACGACATTTTCCGTTTCAATATGTAATACTAAAATTATCACAAGATATTTTTATGCTAACATTTAAAATAGATGCAATTGTCTTTACTATCGAGCCAGCATTTTCCGTTCCCAAATTATCTTGTATGGTCTTGTATGCAAGAAAAGATATGAGAAACGCTAGGCGAGCTACTTTAAGTTGTACCCAGTTACCATAGCAACAACGCGAGCAGCCAATTAGCCAAACAAAAATAGAGAAGTGAAGTGTTAAAATTTCGCCAATTTTTTAGAGACCAATATAAATGTCTAAAGGAAAGAAAACCGAATTGCAAGTATGTTTTAATACTTTTCTGTTTAATTATAATCTTATCTGTTTACATTTTAACTGTAAAAGGTATTAAAATTTGAATAGAAAGTGCCTGGAAATTGTCAATGAATGCAATCGATGACCTTTCTATAAAACCACTTGTAAACTGTAAGTTTTGCATGGTTTGTTTAATTTTATTGACAAAATATTCCACAGGGAAAACGTATCAGTTTGCCTCATACAAAATACCGAATATAGTACGTGAATATTTCGGCGATTGCTCACACAATAATTGGATTTTATGAAATGTAAACAACAACAGTATCTGCATGTGTGCATTTTTGTTGCAATCGCTCTGAAATCATGTTACTGTAATTCTGTAAAAAGCAATTGGAAAGAGAAAAAGCGATTACAAACCGTATCTTTTTTAGATATAAATGCGATAAAATCTCAAAAATATAGAATAAAAACTTTCTTCCCCAAAACTACTTTTGCAGTTTTGCAGAACAGTTTCCCGCCATATAGTTTCATTCAACTAATGCCATTAAATATTGATGTTAGGCTTAGTCTACCTGCTGTAATATTATTTGTCCGGCGTTTACAGACCTAATATTTACTTTATAACACTCCATGATTAATTATATAAGGCTGTTGCTATGCTATGACTTACAATTAAAACTTGCAATAATGGCGTATTTGAAAAAGAACCCAGAGGCGCAAAAAGACCTACAGGCATGTAAAATATTTCAAAATTTGTAGAAAATGCACTTGGCTGAAAATATACTCACTTGCTATACTCAATTGCTTATTTTCTAAAGTATTATAGCATTATTGTCCTTATGTTTTACAGTGTTGACATTGTCACACAAGTGTTGCAGATTATGCCTTTTAATTTGGTACATATAAGTTGTACCAGTATACATATATTATAAAGTACAACTAAACTGTAGAATTGCTCTACAAGTGTTTTTAACATGGAAAATATATTCGTGAAATACATATTACATATACTATACCCATAACTTAGTGTTTCTGGTATGTCTGATAAATGCTACATATACTGTCGAGTCTTGATCATAATTATATACAAGTCATATACATTTAGTTAACACAACTTAGTAAGTACATGCTTGTAAGAAAAACTAAGCAATATTCAGTACTCTATAGAGTTTTGCAAGTCTTCAAAATTTTTAAAAGGTGAAGTCCGATACCAGTGTTAGTAATATAATATTATATTGTACATCTAAGCCTTTCCTACAGCCAGCCACAACAATAGCTTATTATATTATAGGCTCGTATGGTTTCATGAATAGATTACAATTAATATGCCCATGTGTACAAACATGCTAAAGAGTTTTAAATTTGACTATGAATATCAGAATATGGCTATACAACTACAAATTTGTTATTTGGATATGCCATATGTTGTAATATGTGCTATCAATTGTGCTGGCGCCTAGCTTATAAATCTCGTAGCTGTGGCCAAATTGACTACAGGATTTTTTGAAAAATCTATATGCTTGTCTTAATTACAAGTTGTAATTAAGACAAGCATCCACTAAGTATATGGTGAGCATCTGCAAATGACAAATTCAGGCCTCAGGATAGACTTGCCCAAGTCGCTCGCTAGGAACCACGCATAGCAAGAAGGGAGCGCTTGACTGCTTGAGAAAGACAGAAGCGAGCGACTTGTGTCACTTAATGCTTGATTTTGAATCTTACTGAAAAATTTGGCGCGAAAATCAATTATGACATAGTGGGCGTTCACCATGTCGATTTCACGTTAGTACAGAATAATATAATGAGCATTCACTGACGTCACCGGAGCAAAAATGCACCGGTGATTTTGTCGCGCTTGCAAGTGACAAAAGTCTGTCGCTTCCAGGAACCACAAACCGCGGACTTTGGAAAGTCTAGCCTCAGGATTCAGGTCGGTCAATTGGCTAATGCAAACCTGATTGCTGGCAAGCTATATCATGTCAGGTTGAAAAGATACTGCTGATCTGCAATTGAACTTTGTTTATGTGCACTGAGAATAAAGGGCTCTTGCGTTCACATATTTGAACTTTAAGGGAAATGTACGCTACATTCTTTCATATTTCTCAACCATGCATAAATTCGCGATCATTTCAACAGCAATCAATAAATCACGTAATATATAATACACTGCCAAAATGTCAGACTGAAACAGGTGATAATTTTCATCCAGCCATCACTTTTTTCATTGGCAATATTACTATTTACTGCAGAGTTGTTAATTTGCTGACCTTTTGCCATCCTGCTTTTGGTGAATTAAACAAAGCTTTGCCAACCTGGTTTTTCACTAATTCTGTGGCCCAAGTGTGGATCTAATTGTAGTCATACTGAGTCTTGTACACATATTGTCAAATCTAAGACATCTAAATTAATTATAAATTTCCTTTGCAAAAAAATCTAATTGGAATTCCAATAGGAATTTAAATTTTCCTATTGGAATGTGAACATTGAACTAATTGGACTTTGGACAGAAAAATTCTGTACTCAATTGATACTCATAAGTTAAGGAAGTAGAGTACCTTACCTAGGAAGTTAGAGTATTATGGTTGCATGGTTCTCTCCTGTCGGTGCTTTGATGATTTTCCATCAGATGCTCTGGTTTTCCTCTGTGACCGTAAACTATAACCCTATAGCTGTGCTCTGTTATCAAACGTGAGGATCTTTCAGGGGTTTCTATAAAACAAGAGAAGAAGGCATATTTTGCATTGGGGATTATACATGCGAACAAAGCAGTAAAAAAACATCCTGACTTACTAAAGGGAACATGTGCGCTTGGGGGAAAAGGGGAACATGGTGACATCTTTGTTGGGAGCCGAAGGGAACACTGACTCCCTCCCCCTGGAAGACCCTCAGTCATGAGGCATTCGATCATGCACAATCATGTTAATTAGTTATGCCGTTCATGCAATTATCTCTGTATAAAGAAAGATATATTAATGATATATTGATAACAGTTGAAGGGTGTTATTGATGGAAATTATTGAGTGGAAAATACCTATCCATAGTCTATAGGCCTGGCCTATAGGCCAACCTATAGGTATCTATAGGAAACCTATAGGTTTTTATAGGCAATTGGAACATTTTCTATAGGTGACCTATAGGGATGCCTATAAGCCTATAGAGCTCTATAGGTGCCTAAAGGCTTCTATAGGGAATTGGAACATTCCCTATAGGAACCTATAGGCCACCTATAGACTTTTTTTCGTCAGGGCATGCATGCATGGACCAGTTATATATATCAGCTTATGCATGCTTTCCCAGGAACAGCTATATAACCAGGAACAGCTTATATAATTTAACCAGGAACAGCTGCGAAATGAGCTGAGCACATGCATGACCAGATCACAATTACACTTAAAAATGTAATAAAATTTGGACAACTAGTTTAGGCAAAAAGAAAGTAAATTGCCTTAAAATCACTTTGCCTTTATCCACCAGGCAACTGTTCACAGTCAAGATCAGTGGGAAGAACTGCTTCAAAAAGATGGACTCATTGGTAAGATTATGGAAAGAACTATAACTATATATAGTCATATTCATACCATTGATGCACACTTTTGTTATATGGAGCTTGAAGTGCATGTTATAAAGATTGTACATGCTGAATAATCGAGGATCACATAAAAATGCCCAATCTGGACATCACCATAGTCCATAGACAGGACTTTGAACCTGGATATCACCATGCAGACCTGTGAACATTTTGAGCGGAGACTAGAAAAAGCAGACTGTCTGAGAACGATCGGCGCCGGATCGGGAAAGTTGAACTGTCACCGGCAATCTACGATCACTACGACTGCAGTGAAACTGAGGCCGCGTTTACACTATGACCTATGCTATGACGCTACGGCTAACACTCCGTTAAAAATTTACTATGTTTCTAGTATTGAGACTATATTGTGTTTACACTATAACGGAGTGGTTTGCCGTAGCGTACTAACTACGGAACTCAATTCCGTTAAAAATTCACTACATTTCTTAGTATTGTGTTTACACTACAACGGAGTGGTTTGCCGTAGCGTATTAACTGCGGGACACTACGTTTGGCACTCCGGATGCAAATCACTACGCTACGGTAAATTAGCCGTAGCGTCATGGTGTAAACGCGGCCTAATAAACAAGGGGGCCGACGATCTCAGCACACCGAACAGAGATGAAATTCTGATGTTAAAAGCGATTTTAATGTCAGAACAATACGTCGGCGAATAATGGACAGACAGTCGCAGATTAACGATTTTGTGTGAACTAGGCTTAAGGCTAGTTTCCACTCAGGAAAATTATCCGTGGATTGGAACCATAGATATCTTATATATGCACTAGATAGTGCATCTCTTTTAGTAAAATTGAAGCCAAGAATAGTACAGCGGTTACCCCCATTTGAATAGATGGCGGCCATGTTGGTCGTTCCCACTTGCTACTAAATAAACGCTTAAAAACAACAATAACTTTCATCATTTGAATAGTTTAAAAATGTATTTGGAATAGGTTTAACTTAATGTTTAAGTTCCCTGCTTAAGAAATGAAAACATGCGAATCTTCTCATTTCATGGGAACGACCTGAGACTGCAATCACGGCTTCAATTTTTGAATTTGCAGAATAATTAGATGCACTATCTAGTGTATGTATAGAGATGCTTACAAAGGAGGCTATGTTTGGACTTGTTGGGATATAGCTTACTGAGAACAGCTAACGAAGGTCGAATGAAGTGAATGACATCCTCGTTTCATCCGAATTTTACTCAAAAATAGTATGTCTTCGCACTAGCTTGTGATGCACTTGTTTAAGCCGCCAACGTGCTGTTTTGCGCATGCTCCAGGGCACTGCACTACAGTACTGTGTCTGGTTTTACAGCCGTATTTCCATATTTTTCCTGCAGTTGTAGATGCATATGCAGCATGGTGCGGTCCATGTAAAGCTATTGTGAGCACATTAAAACGGATCAAAAATGAACTTGGAGATGACTTGTTACATTTTGCAACAGTAAGTGTTATATGTTGTGATGTTGTCTCTGAGTGTGTCCCATTGACCGCGGTGGGAATCGAACCCGCTACATTTGGTTTGCTAGTCCAATGCTCTACCAACTGAGCTACGAGGTCAAGTCGGTTAGTGTGGGTCATATTTCGGAACTCAGTCTAGCTCCTTCGATATCAGTGTGTTTTTACGATCTTGAATATTCCTGTATATCTTTTTCATTTCTCACACATAAACACAAATTGAATTTTATACGTGGAGAGCTTGAAAGTCAAAAATTGTCCGGAAAATTTTCAAATTTGGTAGGACATTTTTTCGACACGAAGAGCCTTCGCTCGAAACGTCGAAGACGAAGCTCTGTTTATATTTTTCAGGGAGTTGTATCAATCTGACACCGCAGCTGTCTTTCAATAAGTAATATTTCAAGCCAGACACTTTAAAGTATACATGCAGCTATTAAAATGCTTTTAAATTTGACAATTGTATATCCTTTGCGGAATGATCGGGGGCAAGGTTTTTGGTTACCCATTCCTTCAAGAAAACTGACAGCTATTATTGTCCGGAGAAAGTATCCGACCAATTTACCATTTGGGCGGACAGACTTTAATAGACAATTCCCATTATAGACTAATTTTAAAACTAGGAAAGGAGGTGCAAATAAATCACCACAGCTAGAAAGAGCATACTAAAATTAGTAAAATTACAAAATTTGGTTGCGAAATGTTGTAAAATATGGAAAATATAGCCTTGCAAAGTTTGCAAATTTTGTATACTTTTGTATTGCGTGCGACATTTTCGGCCTAAATGTGGTAGGAATGTGGTAGGAATTTCCGCAAGCAATACAAAAGTATACAAAATTTGCAACCTTTGCAAGGCTATATTTTCCATATTTTACAGCATTTCGCAACCAAACTTTGTAATTTTACTAATTTTAGTATGCTCTTTCTAGCTGTGGTGATTTATTTAAGTTTCCTTACCTAATTTTAAAATTAGTCTATAATGGGAATTGTCTATTTGGTCGGAAAATGTCCGAACGTTATTTCAGGTTCTGTACGTGGGTCTTACTCAGGTCACTTTCCCGGTTAGCTGAGCTCATATGAACAGGCACTAATAAGCTTGCTGAAAAACGTCGCAAAAAACACGTTTGGTATTACTGATATGAAATGCAGGCACGGCCCCCAAATGATTTGCACCCCAGAGAGGCATTTGGCACCGCCCCCAAAAGTTTTTGCACCCCCACAAATTATATATATATATTTTTTGATTTGATAGTTTCATATTTGATTATTCTTACTACTAAATTTGTAAAATTACCAATATTATGGTCTCAGATCTCGCCATGCAGGCCTAGAAAACAAATTTTGTTAAACTTTTTCCTTCGCCTTTCCGGGCGTTACCACCACGCCCCGGCCAAAGCAAGCAGCAGCCCCCAAATATTTATCCACACACACCCCGAACGAAAATATGAAAATCCGTCTCTGATGAAATGTAAATTTACTGACTCCCGACTGGAGCGGCCACTGTTTAGGTATTCGTAAACCATGACCGGCTTGCCGGCCATACAGTTAAAATGTTATAGGTTGTAATATTTCAAATCTGATTATGGGGGCTGGACTAGATTTCAAGTCCGCTCAATTTGGATCAAAATGCGAGAACTTGAAATCTAGTCCAGTCCTCATAGTCGGATTTGAAATGTTACATCTCATATGAACAAATCAATATTTAAAGCGAGGTGAATTAATTTTGACATAGTCGAAGGACTGAATTAATTTTGATCCAGTCCTAGAATTAACTGGATCAACATACCTGACCAGATATCCAGTATTATCATGTGAGCAAAATAAAGCAATATGGTTGGCTAACTTACTCATGAATTATTAATGATTTGAGATCTTCGTATATTTTATTGGAGTCTTCGTATCTTTTATTGCTTGGCGTGATCGCAAATTAATATTATGTTAATTATATTTTTTCAGGCTGAAACGGATAACATTAATTCACTGTTACTATACAGAGGAAAATCTCAACCGACTTTTCTCTTTTACTCCGTAAGTAAATACCAATCGACTTTACTGTTTATTGCACTTTTCCTCCAATAACCTCGTTTCCATGTTTGCCTAATTAGGCTCGGTCCCAGCCGTTCCCTCTTGGGGGGCTCTCCCAAGAGGGAAAGGCTGGGACCGAGCCTATGTTTGCCTAGCTTAACCAGGAAAGTTTAACCAGAGTGTTTTATGGAGTGTAGATGCCCTCTGTAGTATTTATACATGATCCGACTATGAGGACTGGAGCAGATTTCAATTTCGCGCAATTTGATCAAGTCCGAGGCCTGCCTCCTCCGCAGGCCCTCGTTGCGTCATGGGAAGGACACGCACAATCTGGCGAGGGCCTGCGGAATCTTGTAAAAAAAATGGGTTTGAGATTATTGCTGATTTTCTTTAGCAGACCGTTATTTCATTATTCCGTGTGATTTCTAATCTAGAACGGAGTGCTTGTATACGTAATCCGCGGCTGTAACAGTCCTGTTATGATCAAAACAATAACAAGTCAACTGGAAAGAGAACACAAGGTTTTGGACGGAAAAGTTGAGCGTACTGAGGTATGATGGTTATCGAGTTGTTGGTTGGCCAACATACGGTACTGTCACAGAGTAACTACATACAGAGGTCTCACTTCAGGTTAATTTAGCGTAAGGGATTTTTCCAGTCTGCTACTAGTGTTCTTAGCAAGTGCCCTAAAGTGAGGCCGTCACCCCCCTGAAACCATATTGAAATTTAATGTTCCAGGGGGGGTGAATGCCTCTCTTTAAGGCACTTGCTAAGAACATGGCCGCCAGCTATTTTGGTAAAAACTATCTAACGGTTTTCCCGCAGAAGTGAGACCTCTGTATGTAAGTACTCTGTGATACTGTGCTAGTCACTCAGTGAGCTCTATATATATTTGTGCAGCTGTGGTAAATCTGAGACGTATCATGTAATTGTAGTACATTGATGAGGTTGTTGGTGCAAAACCTGAGGCAAAGAAAGATGACGAAAAAATGTCTGAAGAAGAAGATGAACAAATAGGTACGCGTGAACGTTTGTCTGGAAAATTGAGTATTGAAACCTGTGGGAAAAAATTTTGCATCCAGCCAAAGTTTTGATCCAATGCAAATAAGGCCATTTACACGATATGCGTCTAGAATGACAATCGTGCGCAACTAGTCGTGTACGATTGTGACTACTCACCATCCAGCTATTAAAAAACAGCATTGACACTCAAGAGAAGCTCAGATTGAACCTCCACTCATTGAGTGTGACTGTGTGAGTGAGCTTTTAGAATATGGGCGCAAATGCATGTAAAGATGTCACATTTCTAATTTTGCCATAAACTGATGAACGGGAATAGTGTGGCGCCAGCAGTCGTTATTATGCGCCAGAATGACATAGTAAGGTACGACACTAACCCTCCAGCTATTCAAAAACAGCAATGACACTCGAGAGAAGTTCAGATTGAACTTCCACTCATTGAGTGTGAGTGAGTTTTTAGAATACGGGCAATAGTGTGTCAGTTTGTTTTGCCCGACCAAAAGGGCGTGGTCGAAGTCGTGCCCGACGGACATTTCAGTCGCTAATTAATATTTCTTTTCCCAAGATTTCCCATTTTTCACTAATATAACTTTCCAAATAATGTACCGTAATTTGTACAATTTTTCAATAATATTTTCGTAAATTTGTCCTGCAACTATTACTTTTCAATAAATTATGTAAAATTTATTGCTCGCTCACTTACATTGCCCGACGAGCGTGTCGCTAAAATTGCCCGACAAAATTGCAATATTCAAAATCTAAAATCTCTTCATTTTAGCATTATTTCACGGATAAAGCACCACCATACTTTTTAAGTTTGTTTGCCGTTTGAGAAACGTATAAAAAATTCAAAAAATTGAATATAGTCAACACCAAGTGGAAAAATATATTTATGTTTAGTTTTGAGCGCGTGTTACGTAACATACAAAAGATTCTCTTCTTAATCTAGTTGTATGAGTAATTTGATTTTTGTTTCAGCTGCATTGATGACGCAATCCATGTTACGTTTGAAGAATAAAGTTAGCTTTAGAGATATGGAGGGATTTGTTGAGACAGGTAGCCAGGACAAGGCAGGAAGAGTCCTTGTAGATCTGCATGGCGATAAATATCACTTAGAAGTAGGAAGCACATTAGTGTAAAATAGTACAGTCGCTACATTACAGTAGGCAGAAAACAATAGAAGTCCTTACGTCACGTCACTGTTTATATTTGAGCCACATGTGTCCCACAATGCATTGCATATACCTAATGTTTTGATGGATTGAAAATTTCGTGACTTAAGCACTTCTAAGGGTTATTACAGCAAGGAGTAAAGGCCATGTCACAACGATGCAATTTGTGCTGCAACTTGTAACGCAATGTCGAATACAGAGCCGTGTTATCAAAATAATGACCGCAGGAAATTTGTGAGCATGGCCCGTATCTACCTCCCTGAAATTTTCTTTGCAAAACATACTCTTAAGGGATGAAAAATGAAAGAAACGGAATGTATAATATCGGCATGAGAGTAAACCGTGGGCCATGCTCACGCACAACTTCCCTGAGGCTACTTTTTAGATAACATGCATGGTTCTATGTTATCTGTGTTGCAAGTTGCAGCAAAAATTGCCTTGTGTAACATGACCTTAAAAGATTCGAAATATAGTCTAGCTCAAGAACACACAGTGCGCGAGTTTAGATTGTCAACATATTACCACTCTTTCTCTGTTGTCCCAGGTTTAAAATTGTTTTGGCTTAGATTGGAGCGGACTCTATACCCACAGTAAATAATAGCCTATCAAGACTTTCGCCATTCTAAAATAATTGTTACAGCTCTGGCGCTGGTTGCAGAATCATTAATTTATAATTACTTAACCATTATTCAACTGTTAATTTTTGAAAAGTGTGAAAAATCTCTGTCCTATTGATAGCCCTGGAGCCGGTTGCTCAAAGCCCGATTAGCGCTAACCCTGGGCTAAATTTTAACCTACTGTTTTTGTTTATGTATTTCTGCATGATCATTCGTTTCAAAACTTTAGGAAATAAAACCTCTATTGAACCATATTCAACTTGATTGATGA